TCGCTATCACGCCATAACAAGGTGATAATAGTAAATATGTAGTTGGATAATATACTAATAGTAGTATTAGGAATAATAGCAATATAGTCGTAATATTAATATTGACGATGATAATAATATCATTCTTAATAACCATAATAAGAAATTATTTCTACCATATATAATATTCGTCCTATATAACAGTCTTTTTGGCTAACCTTCGAACTATAAACAATAAAACAGTTTCTTCCTTCTCGATACCGCATCGTTATCAATATGAAAGTCCATCAAATAAGCCAACAACATTGTATTCACTTTCCAATATCCCGCTGACAAAAACTGACAAAAAAATTGTCCGCAAAATTTCTTTCCTCTTACCTATCTTATGTACTTTGTATTACTGTCGCGCGTATTATTCTCTAATATCTTACCTCCGCTAAGTTTGTATCCTAACAACTATGACTAAGGATGCTTTTATTCTCATTCTGAACGCTTTGTGAATGCGCTTATCTTCTAAGGGGATAAGTTTTTTTTTTTTTTAATTCTGTATGATTCTTCTGCGCGTTACATACTAAGCATTAATATAAAGTAAACGTTGCTATATTATACATTTATAATACGTGGGTGTGTTCAGCGTTTTCACAGTCCCTGTTGGCTGCGGTATCGTTATTGAACTGGCCCTCGAAAGTCATCGAAACAACATGATTATCTATCGTTAGAAAAAAAAAAGAAAAAGAAGAAACTTAAAGATCGACGATGCGTACGATAATAATAAAAATGCGAAATACGTAGTGCGAGCGAAACATTTGAATGCTACTCGGTTAAATGCTTTTTATGATAATCGCTCGTACATCTCTCGCGCATTTAATATAAAAAGAAAGAAAACAACGCGAAAACGTAAATAAAAAGTAAAAAAGGAAGAAACAAGTTGTAACGATCCGTCTTTTGCGTTCGTTTCGCAATTTTCGTTTGATTTCGTGGAGTTGATCCACACGTATGTCTCGTAAAAAGAGGAAGCAAACCATCACGTATCGATACCGCCTGATTTTTTTTTCTTTTTTTTTTTACAAATCTGCCTACAACGAAAAGAAAGTAAAAGAAAATAAAAATTACTCGTGCGTATAATATAAAAATCACGATACATAATATCTTTTTCTCTCTAATGTCTAACAGTAATAATCAATAATTAATAATAATTATAATTATAATAATGGCGTATCTTCTTGTAAACTGTCGCACTGAGCTCTGTCCCTTTTGCGAAAGAAAAATGTATTCGAATGACTATGTACATATACTTAACGAACGAGCAACAAGATGGACATTTGTCTATGTATATAAGAAGATGTGTGCATATACGTATGTGTATGAATGTGTGTATATGTGTATATATATATATATATATATACAGAATTAAGCATCTGACATTATTCTTTTGATTTAACATACGTATTATTATTTATAAGTAAAAATATTTCGAGACAACAAGATAAATTTATTTTTCTTATGGAGAAGTATTGAAGTACGCTTGAAAATTAAATATCTTTTTTAAATGGAATTATATATTTTTTATATTAAAAAAAAAATAATAATAATAATAATCAACAAAAAATAATATAATAAAAAAATATATGATTCCATTAAATGCAGAAATAAGGCGGTCTCCTTATATTTTCACGTACAACAGAATCAATACCATAAAAATTTATTCCGTTCGAAATTTTCAATCCAATTTTCTATCCAACTTTTATCCGAAATATTTTTCTCTTGCAAATAATAATATTAACGTAAATCATCGATTATAATAATCATCAATTACCCAATCCTGTATATCTGTGGTACGACTGTGAACTCATGTGCGCGTGTGTGAGTGCGTTGAAGAATGATATAAGTGTGAATATTTGTGTGCACAAATACATATGTACACACACCTGCTTTTTTTTTTTTTTTTTACATTCGCTGTGATATCGAGTTAATATCGTGGTAAAAAGTTATAACAAATATACACACACGCATGCTGATTTAAAACGCTATAATAAAATAACGAAAGAAATAACTGATTTCCCGAACAGAGGGGACAAAAGAAAAAAAGAAAAAAAAAAAAAAAAGAAAAGTAAGGAAGAAAAGAAAAACTAAAAGAAAAAT